CCTCAGGAACTCTCCATTCCCTTCCCAGCTCCCTCAGGAACTCTCCATTCCCTTCCCAGCTCCCTCAGGAACTCTCCATTCCCTTCCCAGCTCCTCAGGAACTCTCCCAGAATTTGGCACTCGCAGCCCTGCCCGCAGCTCTGCCTCCCCTCTCCTCATCTCCCCAGGCCAGCTCGGCTGGAAAGGAAAAGCTGTTTTAGAACTGAAGCCTTGGACATTCCTGCCCTCGCGGTGTGGAGCTGGCATTTGGACACAGAGCAGGATGTGCTGTGCCCCCGGAAAATGCGATGTGCTTTTCCTGAGTCCAACAGGATTTTGGCAAGGCGCTGGCGCGCTGTCACAGCCGCCCTAATGAGAACCAAGAATAATGGGAATTTTAAAAAATTGTTGTGTTGCCCTGTCAAAACTTTTCCTGCTCTTGCTGTTCAGTCATTTACAGTCACTTCCACACGCTGAAGGCCTTAGGTTGAAAAGCAATATATAATACTGCTGCATTTGTCATCCCTAGGTGTAATTGCAGCCTCTCCGCACCAGGATTCGCCAGGTGAGGCACAAATTACCTTTTCCTGGAGGAATTCTGGCTGGGAGATGAGATCTCCAGCCCAAGGCGGTGTCCTACACCGGGCACTCGTGGCCCTGCCGCCTTGGCCAGCCCCACAGCAGCACCCCGCGTGCCAGGGGCGGGTTGAATTAGCACTAATTAAAGAGATAACGAGCACAGCCCCTTCTGCCCGCAGCCACCTGCACCCTCAGCCAAGGAGATCTCCTCACACCCAGCGCCAGCAGCGCTCCAGGAGGGAAGTGCTGGGGTTTGTGCGGTGAATCTGGCAGTGCCACCCTGAACTCAGCTCTTGGAGAGGCGTTGTGAGCTTGGGGACAATGTCGGGGCTGGTTTTCACTGCAGGAGCTGCAGGGCCGCTGCATCGGGCCTGGGTGCCGTGCAGAACCACCCCTGCAGCACAAGCGTTGCATTGCATCCCAGCTCTCGGGGCTCTGGCAGCGGAGGTGACCCCGAGAATTCCAGAATTCCTTTCTTCCAGCCCACCCAGCCGAAGCAGGAGTGGGAATGCATAGGGTTGGTTTCTCGAGGTTGTTAATTCTCTATTATCTGCAGCGTTCTTTCTCAAGGAGCTGCGCTCTGTCCAGCAGGTCACTGTGCACAGAATCCGCCCTTGGGATGGTGTTTACATTCTACACCAAAAACTACCTCTTACAATAATGTAAACATAGTTTGTAGTACCTATGATTTATGTTGGACAGTTTGTCTGTACCTTAAACCAACAGAAAAGTGTCACCAGCACAGCAAGACATGGAGGGCAAGGAGAAGGAGAAGGAGAAGGAGAAGGAGAAGGAGAAGGAGAAGGAGAAGGAGAAGGAGAAGGAGAAGGAGAAGGAGAAGGAGAAGGAGAAGGANAGGAGAAGGAGAAGGAGAAGGAGAAGGAGAAGGAGAAGGAGAAGGAGAAGGAGAAGGAGAAGGAGAAGGAGAAGGAGAAGGAGAAGGAGAAGGAGGAGGAGGAGGAGGAGGAGAAGAGAAGGAGAAGGAGGAGGAGGAGGAGGAGGAGAAGAGAAGGAGGAGGAGGAGGAGGTGAAGGAGAAGATAAGGAGAAGGCCAGGACATGCTCAAATCCCTCCATCTTGTCCCCTTGAACCCCACTGGAAAACCCCCAAAATTCTACTTTTTCACCCTGTGTTAATTCAACCACCACGCCACTCAAACCCTTGTGGCTTGTAACTCCTCACACAGAGTTGGCAGCTTTTTCCATGGGCTAAAATCAAAGCCACGGGTGTTTTTGTCTTGTGCCAGGGTCTGGGGACAGCCAGGGCAGCCAGAGGGGTGAGCTGGGCTCCGGCAGTGCCCCGGGGCACCCTGTGTTTATAAACACCTCTGTTCCAAAGCCACTGCCCCGAGCTGCCCATCGCCGTGTTCCTATTGTTAATAACAACAATAATGAATTTAATTATGAACACAAATTAATAATTCGCCATTCATAACACAAAATGCGCTCAGCTGTCCCCGTGGCTCCGCGCCAATCCTCGGATTTCAGGGAGAGCTGGGCCAGCCCTGCCGGCTCGGCAGGACGCACATTTCTGGAACCAAAACCACGCCAGGCGGATAATTAACCGCTGCTCCTTACAGACAAACGTAGCGCAGCGAGAGACAACTCTTTCCAAAGCCTGTTAGAAAAAGAACACAAAAAACAAACAAAATCATAACAGCAACAAACAAATCAAAACAAAATCCACAAAAAACACAAAAAATACCCCCACAACAGCAACAAAATGCTGTCACAAAACTTTTCACGTCTCCTTCTGTCCCCCTTCCTCCTTCCCACACCATGAAAAGCTTCTTCTGCAGTTCCAACAAGTCCTTCTGCTGGTAACTGCTAAAAAAAACCAAAAAAGGAACTAAACTTAGAGGAACTCTTCCAGGAAGGCACAAGGATGTTCAAAACCATTTCTTCAAAGCTTAAAAATTAATTTTAAAGTCTTCCTTGACATGTTAAAACTCCCTGATGGCCCAGAGCAGGGTCCTTGTCTGCTGTCAGGGGAAACTCTCGGGCACTTCTGGTTGAATGAGTTTTGCTCTCTGGAAACGAGCAAATGATTAATGGAAGGACAAACTCATTGAGAAAATCGTCAGTTTGTGGTCCAAACCTCTCCTGACCGGCACACACGTTCCCAATAATTAAATTCAGGTTTCATTAGCAGTCAGAATTATGAGGCGGTTTGGTAGCTGGACTTTCAGGGGAGGGGAGCACGGTAAGGAAGGACACGCGTGTCTGCTAGGAAAGAGGAAACTGTAACTCGTGTTCAAACAACAAACGTGCCAAATGGCAAACAGAGGGGCTTTACACACCCTGAGAGCTCCGTGTGCTCTGATTGTACATCACCCCAGCACGGAGTGTGCTCCGGGCGCCCAAACCAATGATTGTTTGAACTGACAGCAAACGGCCCGGCCTTGAGGGCAGAACAGGCAGACTTCAGCTTTTCCTCCGGGTCAGGGGAAAGGAACATTTCCCCTTTGTTGCAGAGGATAGACAGAAGGTGCTCATTTTGCCCTGGGAATGTATTCTGCACAGAGGACACATCTTTTCCTCCCCTCTCTTGTCATGAGATACCTTTCACTCTTCTGTAGGCATTTCTTTGGGTTTTTAATCTTATTTTTAATTTTAATGACGCTTTGTCACTCTCTGCTCAACACATTGTGTGCCTCTAGAGAAGGGGTAGCAGGCACATAAATTCTTTTTTCTTTTCTTTTTTTTTTTTAGCTCCTGAAACTCCTGCTAGTTTTTCCAGACCATCCCAAGAGCAAGCTTCAGAGATCTCTGCCTGGCTACACCCCAACCGTGCAGAGGAGAATACTCATCCCACACCCCTTGACTTTCAGCACAGGATAAACGGGTTCAGAACAGCATTCGTGTGACAGTCACACAGCCAAGGCCCAGACAGGACAGGGGGAGAGGCCCTGAGGTGTTCCTTCAGTGTGATACCATCGGACACTGCTGCCCTCTACCCAAAATGACCCAATCAGAGCCCAGAATGAAACCCTGAACCTGTGCAGTGAAATGACTGGGGCAGCTGTGGATGGTGTAACACTGGGGGTTGGGCCGTGTCTGGGTGTAACACCGGGGGTTGGGCTGTGGATGGTGTAACACCGGGGGTGTGGCTGTGGATGGGTGTAACACCGGGGGTTGGGCCGTGTTTGGGTGTAACACCGGGGGTTGGGCCGTGGATGGTGTAACACCGGGGGTTGGGCCGTGGATGGTGTAACACCGGGGGTTGGGCCGTGTTTGGGTGTAACAGCGGGGGTTGGGCCATGGATGGTGTAACTCCGGGGGTTGGGCCGTGTCTGGGTGTAACACCGGGGGTGTGGCTGTGTTTGGGTGTAACACCGGGGGTTGGGCCGTGTTTGGGTGTAACACCGGGGGTTGGGCCGTGTTTGGGTGTAACA